CATAATGCAAGGATGGCTCAAAACAAAAAGTTTCTGGTGACCAAACCTTTTTTGGTGGGGGGATTGGATTTCGTTCTCATTAACCTCTCATTTCCTTTCTGAGAGTGAGGCTAAATTGTCGGAGTTCTTACACGCTTTTTGAAGGGATATTAAATAGACCCCACCTCCCCCCAAATCGCCTTTCCCTCCCCCAATAGTTGCGAGCTGGATCCGCCCTTGCATACATGTATTTGTTTTTGTTGTCGTCTTTGTTCGCCTGATTGTTTCATCATCCTCTAAAGTGAATTTAACATCAAGTCCCACTACCATTCCTTACTCGACCCGAACAGCCTCCCGCATAGGCACTCGGTCTTTTCGCAGTGTGTGAAGGGAAGATCTTTCCAGCGCACTTCGCCCTGTCGTCGTTATTTTAAAGTATTTTGACGGGTTGGTAAGTGGGTTTTTTTTTGTTTTCATGACGGAGGAGGTGATATACAGGGTGGGGAAGCGGTGTTGGGTGTGTGGTGGGTGGACGGGTTGGGCGTTGAATATTGGTGGACGGAAGGTTTTGAATGCCAGGTTGGAGATGGATTATTGGTCAGGTTTTTTAGTCGGTTGGTGGTGTCACTGGATTGCAGTGGCGTAAAAATGAGGGGGGGGGCGGGGGATGACTTGCCTGGCCATGGAAAGTTGAAAAGTGGGGAGGGAGGCTATACCGTGTACACTATACAGAGGGCGATGTTCATGATAAAGGTATACATTTGTAATGCGTATCAAATTCATGCTGAATCCTACATCAGAATGACATATGGCTTTAAAAAATGTTTTCCCTTATTTACTGACATTGTAGTCGTTGGGAACTCCTAAAAATTCTTCACAATCCACTTTAATTTTTTTGCTCATGAAAAAGTGTGGGGATGATTCAATAGCCCACCCCCCAAAAAGTGTGTAGGGGTGTGTGTGTGGGGGGAGGCCCATGCTGGATTGGTTTGGTGTGGTTTAGTACAGTGGGTTAGTGGGTGGATGCTGTCAACGCTCAGTGTCTTGGTATAACTGCTGAAAAAGCCAGGAATTTTCCAAACCCAAAACATTTTATGTGTGCTTAAAAAGGGTGGCTGCAATAGATTTTCTGATAACAAACCTCTAAAATGCACCTTTCTGCCACAGTTAACCTTATTTTCAACAGTTTTAACTTCTGTTTCATTATTTCAAAGGGTATTTTAACGCTATTTTGGTTTTTGGGCTGATGAGTATTTCCATATTCATGAG